TAGTAGTAGTAGTAGCACAAGTAGTAGTAGTAGTAGTAGTAGTAGTAGTAGTAGTAGTAGGAGTAGGAGTAGGAGTAGGAGTAGTAGCAGTAGTAGCAGTAGTAGTAGTAGTAGTTGTAGTAGTAGTCGTAGTAGTCGTAGTAGTAGTAGTAGTAGTAGTAGTAGTCGTAGTAGTAGTAGTAGTAGTAGTAGTAGTAAGCCCATTTCAGCCGTAGGCACTAAATTAGGAGAAGTGTACTATAATACGCGATGAAAATATATTCGAACAATATACTATAATAGTGCTACTATCATCATACCACTGTCACGACACTACAATAAATAGTACTACTACAACACTTTTCTATTATCTTCCTGGGAGGCCAGCGGCTCCGGCTTTCAGTTGCCTTCGGAGCTTCTGACACCTTCCCGGCCTTGCTGCAGGAGATGAGCGGTACCCTACTCTGTGTATGTATGTGTATATATATATGTATATATTATACAGGTATAATTTGTCGTTGTGAAGCTTTTATCTTCCTGATATCAGTTTCAAGCTCTGCTGCGTGATCGAAATTTGGTCTATTCACTCACTTCCTTTGTATTGTTGTCTTGCTTTTCTCTGTTAGATATTCCAGCTTTCTTCATAATGCTCATGTAGAAATGGCTTGTAGTTCTATGTTCTTTTTTCTCACTCAGAATCAGATTGCTTGGGTCAGTCGTCTTGAAGCCTTGTCTACTGTGTGTGAGAGTGAGAATCGAACTGACTCAGCCTTTGCTAAATCCCCCTAAACCGACCCATTCAACAAGCATTTGGGGGTTGCCGTGGCTGTCCTTCAACCAGCAGCCAGAGAGCTTGTTTCAAAGCCAGTGAAACGACTCCGCGTCCAGTCAGGGATGGGCTCCCAACCACAAAAAGGGCAGGGGTACCATACTCTAATATATACATATATATAACTATATATATATAACTATATATATACATAACTCTATATATATATATAACTATATATATATATAACTATATATATATATAACTATATATATATACACATACATACCTATATATATATATACATACATACATACATATATAATTATGTATGTATATATATATATATATCTCTCTCTCTCTCTCTGTATATATATATATATCATATATAGGTATAGATTAGGAATAGATAGACATATATATATATATATGTATGTATATATACACTTATACACACACGTACATACACGCATATGCATGCACCGACTCAGGAGCTCAGCAGCCAGACGAAGGTCCTTCGAAGCATCGATGACCGGCTGACAACGACCCAGGCTCCACACACTGACTGTAAGTCGAGCCCCTTCAATAAGGCATTGAGGTGTGAGATGCATCGAATGTGATGGGGGTCAGAGGGATGGAGCAAATTCGAGCGGGACCGGTTCGGGAAGGCATCATGCACTCTTCTTGCAGCTCATATATGTCAGAGTGTCAAAAAATAGGGTTGACATACATGTGATTGGCCTTTGCCACGGGGTTCGCGATTGATTTCAACCCATCGCAACATATGGTCAGGAAGGCTGCCGGGACCATCAAAGAAAGCATTCCTCGCTTCACAGGCGCTGGTCCCCAAAGCGCTGGGGAAGATGAAGTGCGAGATCCCGGGCCACGAGGTCTGGTTGTTATTTTATTCACTGCTTGCCTGGGCCGCGGCCGCGTATTCATATATGGCTGCCCGAAGAGCAGCGCGAGCAGGGAGTCGCGTTGTAGTTTCAAGACATGAACTTGTCTGCTACGTAGAACCGGCAAAAGCCGGTGAAAGGCCTATCGCCTCGCTGTGAGCTTGCCATCATCCACCTGTGTTTTGTGCAAAGCCGCAAAGCGCTTCGAGCAAGCGAGGGCGACATCAAAGCAGCTATGGACAAGCTGATGGAAGATTCGGTCGTCATAAAGGATGCGGCATGCCAGCGCAGAAGAGAGAGCGAGACAGACGGTGAGCGAGCGTGCACTAGCGGCACTAGCGATCTAAAGGCATGATAAAATCATCTTCTTTGGGTTGCAAGGGAAAAGAGTCAAGTGATTCGCGCTCATTCTTTTGTCTGGATAGGTTTGCAGCATGGCCGTGGGTGCGAAGAGAAGCGACTGCCTAAGATATCCCATTTCTAGCCGCTAGCCGTCCGGGATGTGCCCGGTACGCAGGCCGTAAATCCACAAGGACGAAAGACAGCGCGAGGAACTCAAACAGGTGTGCCTGTGCGACCGGCAGTCGGACTCAAGCCCCATACAAGACCGAGAAGCGAACGAAGCAGCTCCCATCGCCCCAGAGCCCACTTTCTGGGAACTCCTCAGCTTCGCATCTTTCTTCGCAGGAGCAGGTGGGCACCATCATTGACCGGCTACATGATTCCGCCAACGAAGCTATGGCTTTCAATGACCTGATGCACAGGCCGGCTGCCACTGCCAGTGTCCTCACAAACAGCGGCTTAATGGGTTCAGGTTCAGGCTCAGCATGTTCCACCTCTCCGACATTCTTGATAATTTTTGGCCAACCTTCTCTCTTGATGCCAGGCAGTTCGAGTACAAAGGCAACCGCTTGCCGGAAGAAGTCTCCGAGTTCTCTGGTACAGCCAAGCGCTTAAGAAGCCAGCCTATCCTGGGAGGATCCGAGGGGGAATTTGCCGGGTCAACCGTAGCCTGGTATACGGGCCTAGCTCTTGCTCTGCTGTAGCCCTGCTTAGTACCCAGAGTCTCCATTGTAGTTCCTTTTTGGGGTTACCTTTTAGGATCCTTAATATAGAATTGACTAAACCAAAAGAAGGAACTACAATGGACACTACAGGTACTCTATGTCCCGCGCCCCAATCCTTGACTGCCGTTTTACGCCCCTTTCACATCTCCTTGGGAACTCCAGTTCCGTGCTGCTGAATCCCTCTAGCAACCGAGGGTTTCAAGTCGGGGATTGGAAGCTAATAGTACCCAAAAAAGGCTCGGAAAAACGTAGACCCTAAGCAATCAAACCCGCATAAAAACAGGCAGCCCCCCATCAAGAAGCACTGGTATCCCAGCCCGAAGAACAGCTGGTCCGCCCAGGTGGTGTCCAATCTCCACCGCGCCGAGGATATGGCGAAGAAGGAAATGGTCGCTGGTGCGAAGGCATCCAAATAAGGGGGTTCGGAAGGGCTGAGGCTACAAATGAGTTCAGGCTTTGCATCAAGCTGCATTCCTTCGGGGCATGGGTGACTCCAGGTGTGGTGCAATGAATGCTTTAAGCCTTTCGTGGCTAGTACTAGCTGTAAAGATGAAGTTGTGATGTCTACCATTCAAGATTTTTTTGTCTCGATACACAGTCGGGTCGGATGCTTGAGCCTTGAGCAGATGCATACCTGCTAGGACCTGGTGCGAATGGCGGAAGAAGTTCGAACCATGATCATGGCTTCCACGATGCCTGCATCCATGCTCCTCCACTGCACTGGCAAGGATTATGGAATCGCACCCCAGCCATGCATACCTTCGCCAACCCACAGCGTCCGCACCGTTGGGCCCAGCTATATCACGCTGGCGCACCTTCCTGCAGTTGTAGGGCGTACAATTATGTAATCATGCATACACGAATGTACTGCCGAAACACGGCTTTCAAAAGAGACAACAAATCAATCCACATTGCGCATATTGCGCAGGATCGATCCGCCTCTCTGATCTCTGAGGTGCATTCTCGGTGCCCCTCCGATCCAGAGACGCAGTGCCAACGCAGCATCGTTTCTGTGAGCTCTGAAGCAGCACTCGCGTGTTGAAGCTAATCCTGACTGTATGCATCTGCGAGGAAATCGATGTATAACACCAGGCATTGGTTGTTCTAAGCTTTATAACCTCCCGAGTTCACATGAGTTTAAACTACCAAGGAGTTCATATAGAGTATGCAGGTCTAGGATTTCGGATTTGGGAGTGCGTACATACAAATGTATATATATATATATACATACACATACACATACGTCCACGACCCGACACTTCATCTTCAGCCTTCTGCAGCTTACACCATCATCGCCTCCGACGCCTTCTGCCGACGGCCAGTCTCACTGATGTCCTCTCGGACATGCGCCGGTTCGCAGAAACAGGACATGCATGCAGCTATGCTGGTATTCTTTGATGCACTCTGCATCTCAGTGACGGGTGTTGGCTCCGCCGGAGCTAGAGCAGCTGGAGCCCGCAGCACTGTGCAATTGCCTGTGGGCCCAGGCAGGCTGTCCTGGAACGTCGGACGCGAAGGCCGTGGGGTGCCTTTCTGCCGCAAATGTGCAAACACCACACCCTAGATTATGTTTCAAGATCAACCCCAGACAAGCGGACAAGCTTAGCCCATCCAATCTTGAGTCCTGCATGGGCAAGTCCCCAATTGAAGCAACACCAAGGAGGCAGAGATGCCAGCGGCTTGGAGGGACGAGGCGCAAGTGGAGAGATTGGAGAGTCCGCGGCTCTAGCAGGGCGTGGCATGGCCGGCACACTTTGGGCAGGCCGTGCGGGAAGCTCGCTTACTAGAGAAGGAGGCAGCAGCGCAGCCGCCACAGCCACAGGCCACTCACCTGGCTGTGTGGTCTCTTGCAAGGAGCTGTTGTTATAAGCTAAAAGTGCACTGGCTTGGTTCCCATGCAACGAACGTCAGGTCGAAGACTCCGGTCCGGACTTTGTGACGGTTGTGGCCGGAACAGCAGTGTGGCTGCATCTTGAGGCTCTCCATGCTACTAGCTGCCCAAATGCGAAGACAGCAACAAAGGTGGCATTGTTCGGGCTCCTCCTCGCAGGAATCATGACACTCTCGCCGCCGCAAAGATGCACTGGACTTCGGAGACGGCACTCCAGTCACATGGATCTACTGCATCTAGCCGAATGACCAGGTTTTAGGTACTCGTATGTGGACTTCGCATTTGTATACTCTAACTCGACACCATCGCCCATCTAGGCCATACAGGCCATGCATGTCACGGCTTCAGTAAAGGGTCCAGCATTCGTGGGCCAGTGTCCAGGACAGTTCCGCCACGTGGCCTTTAGTAATGTTCAGGTCGCTGTGGGCCCTTGGAAGTATCATTCACAACCAGCTCGGGGCATCGTGATCATGGGTCGAAGTTTCGTTGAAGGCTTGTTGGCTTGTTGCG